TTATGTGGTACCTTTTCTCCTTTTGAACTGGCTACCCTGGACGCAAACATGAACTTTGGAGGTTTAATCCCAGAAGCACGAAGCCGAGTTCGCTCCTTCCCTGATGTTCAGCCTAGAGAGGCAGGTCTCAGGCAAGGTTTCCAAAGCCCATTTTGTCCCTGCAGATGCCACTTTCTTCGCCTCAGACCCCTCACCTTAAAGGCGGGGTCCTGTCCAAGCTACTGGACCTCACCAAGCCCTGTCCTCTGTGAGCTCCAAGGTCCCACCCCCTTCCTCCTTGCAGTTCATTTTGTCCATGGGTGGACTTCTTCCTCCTCGGGTCTCCTCTTGGCCTCAAGGCGTCTGTCAGTTTCCCCCGGAATAGTGACTGCTCTATAAGGCTCTATCAAAACAAAGGAATGAAGCAACAAATAGAGAGTTCCCACTTACCTCCCTCATTAGAGACTTTACAGAGGCAGGCCCAAATGAGCAGCCAAAGCAACTGGAGTATAGAGAGCCCTTCCTGGTCCTCGTCCCCATCTGGGAGGTTTGTATTTGTAATCCCAAGGATAAATTATCAGAGTTTCATCAAGTTAATTCCAATCTACCACATCCAGTGCAGCCACGGTGAGAATAAAGGCCCTAAGGCATATTTGTAGTTTTGGGGAGCCAAGGGGTCCTAAGTCCAGCCACAATGATGGATGTCAAGAACAAACCTCGACCCAAGGCCCAATCCAGGTTTTATTCACTTATGAAGGAAGGAGTGGTTGGAGGATGAATGACTGAGAATGGCAGGAAGTAGGTGAGTGCTGGGAGCTAGGCTGGGTAGGAGGCTGAATTCACCTCTGCAACATGCAGAGACAAGGATAGGCATAGTAATCTGCGCTACACAACTGAGATATTATCTAATGTTTTGGGGTCCGTGCTTAAGCTCTGGTGGGTAATCTTGCAAACCCCAGGAAGTCGTAGCCTCTATCTCGAGGCTCAGTCGCAGCTGATAGTGTGGAACATTGGCTCTTCGTCCCATCTGAACCCAACTCACACTAGAAGGCAGCAGGTGGGGGGTTCTGGGGAAACACACCTGTTGTCTTCAAAGATTACCACCAGTACCTCAGCTAGACTGATATGCACTGCCCAAAGCCAAATAAAGTGGGCCTGCAAGGGGGCCTGCCCATTAGCTCAATTGTTTAAGCAAAGCAGTCAGGCTCTGGATGCTGTGGTTTGATCCCCTCATCCTCATGCCTTATCAGACCTGCCCTTAAGGCATCCTGAGCCAGCCCCCGCCCCCCCCCCAAAAAAAAGCCAAATGAAGGCATAAGGAAAAGCCCTAGCCAACTCCATACATGTCAGTACATGGAAATAGGATCAGGCTCCATCAAAACGGAGACAAGTGCTCTTCTTTTCAGGAGAGTTACCTAGCTGGTCCTTCACCCTGGAATATGGTCTAGGGCTGTCCTACTGGACCGGATTGTGGATCTGTCTGGGATCTTGATGTCCCCCCCACAAAAAAAAAAACAAAACAAAACTGAGCAGGACACCCAAAACAGCAGCAGGTTCTCAAATTTATTTGAAAATGAAAGTGCACTCCAGAGGATGTGAGTGGGCCAGTATGAGGAGGTGAAGGAGCGAGGGAGCTTCATACTCAAGGTTTTAAGCATTAAGGTTGGGTGAGATTAGAGGGACTGATCTGAGGTTTGGCTCTTGCCAGACTGACGGTGGCTCAGCCACTCCATTGGGCAGGAGTGTCTGACCTCTATGGCCCTGGAAGGAAATGTCATGGCGCCCCAAGCCCATGGGAGTGTCAAATTTGCATAGTCAATGACATGGTAATCAGGGTTGAAGAAGGCCCCTGAGCATATGTGTGAGCTCAGTGTGTATATGCTAAATTACCTGGTTGTCTTTTCCTTGAGTTTTACTTTATTTATTTATTCACTTTTTGTGGCCTGTTCAGCCTGCCCTCCTGGTGTGGCCTGTGGTGCTGGGGCGGAACTGAGGCCCTGCACTTGCCTAAGCTTGCCTTAGCAGGTGCTTTAGACAACTGAGCTATCTTGCTGGCCCCTCCCCGTAGGTTTAGACCTGGGCATCCTGGTGCTGGGCTAAGGATTATTTACTTTTTATTAGCATACATTTGCAGTATGCAATACTTACATTTATTGTGGAGGGGCTCATATACGAGCTTAGCACCTAATTCTCTCACCGCTTCCTCTCCTTTCTTCCTTCCCCCTACAACTCTTGTCCCTCTTCCCTTTGTAATAAAAAAATTTCTAGGGCCGGGGAGATGGCTCGGTGGAATAAGCGCTTCCCTGGCAAGCACAAGAGCCTGAGTTCAGTCCCCAATTCTGCCAAAAAAAAGTTTTTTTTCTAAATCCCTTTTCCCTGCCTTTTTCCATCTGTTATTCCCTTCCTGTTTGAAAAAGAAACCCCGGGGGCCTGGCCCTAGCTCAGTCCTTTAAGTGGCTGCTTCCACAAAGCTGTCAGCCTCAGGTTGCTGGAGTTCGAACCTCACAACTCTCCCTTCTTCGGGGCCCTGGCCCTAGCTCAGTCCTTTAAGTGGCTGCTTCCACAAA